CCAGTAAGGGCCGGGGCGGGGGCTGTGCGGGGCGGGAACCCCTCGAGACCAAACCGCAGGGAGCTGCCTCCTCAGGACAGCCCCTGCTCTGCTCGGTACTCTGCCATAACAAACTGCTTTGGGTTCTTCCCAGTTCCTTTGTTCTACCGGTTTGCTTCGAGGCCTCTAACCTGCTATACATCACTATTTGAAGGGTTTGAAACCCTGTTTTTTTTCTTTTCGATGCCTATTTTGCAAGTTAGCATTGGATAAATTTGCAAGTTTGAGTCTTGTTGCAGTGGCAGTTCACAAGGAAGTAAAAGGCTGTTTGTGGTTTCTTTAAAGGAAAGCTGAATATTGGCGTTGACACCATTCAGCATGGAGTAGAAGGACTAATGTATCTTCTTACCGAGAGCTCCAAGCTTATGGTAAGGATTCCTTTGTGTAAGGAACGTGGGGATGCACTCAAGAGACATTTTCTGAACACTTAGACCTCTGAAAGTATGGTGAATGGGGATAATGTGATTCAAAACATTTTAATAGTATAATTTACTCCACATGGAGAAGCATCCTTCAGGATTAAATAACAAAAGTCGAGTGAGGATTTTGTTGTTCAGCTACTGAACAGGCTGTGGACTGGACTAACCCCCTGTTCAGCATTCCTTGTCTTTGTCTGAAGTGGTGGCTTTGAGAGCTATCTCAGTTCCTGGCATCAAAAGTTTGGGTGGGTGTGAGCAGGTACTAAAGGAATAGTACTTGGAAAATTACTGTTTCCGTTGGAGAGATTTGTAACTATTGATGTAGTAGAATGTTGTAGTAGACAGTGAATATGTGGATAAGGGATACAGAGACAAGGAATGCAAGGTTAAACTCGGGCATTGCAGGTGGGGAGGAGATGGAAATGCTGCAGGACCTTTCCTTAAAGCAAGGGGACTTGGCTGCCAAGTGAGAGTGTGTGGTGGTGGGGCATGGTTGGTGACAGACTGTGTTTACAGAGTGGAGCATTGTAGAGGTATGCAAATCAGTAGCAATACATCAACAGCTGTACGCCCCCTAAACTGTGGTTTGAGCTCTCTGTCAGGTCTGACTGTCCCTCTGAAGCAAACCCAATCCTCACCTGGCTGTTCGGTATGACAGTTGGATGATACAGTGAATAGGCAAACATTTCTGAGTCACTAAACTGTAATAAAACCATTTAATAAAACTTTAAACTGATGCACATCCAAGTCAGTTCATAACTTTTGCAGGAAACACTTCATTCACTTTCAGTGAAAACAAAGTAGCATACACACAGTTAGTGCCTTTTTCTGTATGAATTCTGAGTTGGTCAGGCATGTCCTAGAGCTGGATATTTGCTTTGTCCTAGGTGTAGAATTGTCCTTGGACATGCACCATAGCATGTGTGGTGTTTAGTTATGGTGTTACTTGGTTCTCAACAAATAGTGATGATTACACAGTTCCATATTAAGGCCTGAATTGTTATTTCTAGATTTCTGAGGTCGACTTCCAAGAGTCTATTCATGTTCTGGGATTCTCAGAAGAACTGAACAAATGCCTGCTCCAGCTGTACCTTGACAACAGGAAGGAGATCAGGACCATTCTTGGAGAGCTGGCACCAAGGCTCCCCAGCTACCACAGCCTGGAGTGGAGACTGGACGTGCAGGTGACTTCCCTGATTGTTATAGCAGTCCAGATTTTGCTTCATATTTTTTAAACACCATAAACAACTGCTGAACAATGTGACAGTGATTGAGGCAGCAGTTCCTCATGTATTTAAAAGTGACCTGACTTGGGTAGTGCCCCACAGACAGCCAGTTGTAAGGTGAACAAGATGTGCAGTGATGCAAAGGACTTGTTGCCTGACAGAAATTGAGTTCATGGCTCCATGGGTGCTTTAAAATGTGCTAAAAGGTTTTAACATGTGCTCAATGTATTTAGTCTTGACTATCACCAAATTTTCAGAAATACTATGAAAGCATTGATTAAAGTGGGTGATGTTCCTTAATGATAAAATCCATTAACAGCTTGTGTGTGTACTTAATGTGGATGGAGAGGGTTTCTGAGCAGTGCTCCAGGCAGGTCCTGCAGGCCTGGTGGGAGCTGCAGGCAT